GTGTGTGTGTGTGTGTGTGTGTGTGTGTGTTTAGGGTTGTACATTAGAAACACATCTATCTGTATTGCTTTTCCCAAATGGATATTCCAACATTATTCACCCTCTAAAGGGAAAACAGGTGATAAGATCCTATCTGGAATTGGGTTGGGTAATAAGAATGAAGTATGTTTTGTCTGAGCCTTTTGATTTCCTGAAAGTTGAAACTGCCCTAGAGATGGAGGTCCAAATCTGCATAAACGATGGAATTAACATGTGTTTGATATGATAATCTTTTGCTTGAAGTTGCAAATAGTTGTCTCTTCAACGTCTTCATTCTCTTAGTAGCTGAAAGCTTTTTGATGTGCATGCGGGTTTGGCTTCTGGAAAATCAGTCTGGTATAATTGCTTTCCAATGCATGTTTAGGCCTATTTGATTAATAATATACCCATTTAATTTATTTTTTATTTACTTTTCTTTAGTCATATTGTATTTGACTCTTTTAATCATTTTTTTCCCCTTATGTTGCGCATAATAAGAGGGCAATGCTATTTACTTTTGCCATGATTTTATTTTAAGCATTGAGCATTGGTGAAATCTATATATAAACGTTTCTCTCCAAAATGTTGGTTTTAGTGGTGTAGAAACTAATTTGATGTCAACATGGAATGGCATGGAATGAATTGTAGTGGTTGTGATGTTCATAACCATTAGTAGGCCAGACAGAACTTGGAGCACCTAGAAACAAAGCAATATGGTGACAAAGTGGTAGGTTAGGGTTGGAATGACATTTATCAACCAATGGGCTAGAGATATAGTTTAAGGTTAAGAATTTGAACCAGTAAGGATTTCGGGTTGAGGGATGAGGTTTGATGTCAAGGTTAAGTGAGGATTAAGATGTTAAGAGGTTAGGTGTTGAAAAATAGAGGTTAGGATTTAGGGTAAACATTTAGGAGGGGTTTGAACTGGATTGGGAATGGTTGAGATGGGTTTTAAGGTTGAAAATTGGGGGTCAGGGTTAGGAATATAGGATGAGACAATGGATGCGGTTGGCTACGATTGGTTAATAGGAGTGTTGTTCTTGGAACAGCAAAGGTTTTCGATCAGAGGATGTTTAAAGTATGGCATACACTGCAGCTAAATTCGGATATCAATTCACCTTTTAGTCCTGTTCTGTTCACAGACAGTTCAGTAATTTACAGAAGTGACAACTGCATTTTACAACCAAATTAGCTCTCGAAAAATTCAGGTAGTGACATTTACTGTACAGGAATTCTGTTAATGATGTATTTAAATATGTATAAGAGATTTGATGCAAGAAATCACAGGAAACAACTCTTTAATGTTGCCAGATCTTACTATGATGGCAAATAAGTACACGTCTATAATAAACTTAAATCCAATTGCATTATCCTAAAAATAAGCCATATGCCAAAATTTCACAACCTGCACCTGCCTGCTTTATTAATTGCATAAAATTTATTTGCTTTACTTTATGAGCCTACACAACAAGCCAAAAAGTTAATAAGCAGACATGGCAACATTTCAAGAGTGTGCTCTACAAAGTATTCTTCCTAACATAAACAAAACATGAAGGCTCTGTCAACGGTGTTTAGTTAATATAGCCAAACATAACTTGAAACATAGAACATAGAAAAAGTATTTGGTCGCTGTAATATTGCTTTGGTCAAAAATAGTGGATACCAAACATGCAAGATGCTGTTTCGTGCATACATAAAATGATAATTTAGGGGATTAATTCACTCTTTAAATGTTTGTCACTCCTGAAACTTTATAGTGTGTACATGGCCCATGTTTATATGTACATGTTCACACACAAAATAATGCATTTAATGCTGTTCACACGCACACACACACACAACTTCTGTTCCTCACAGACTTATGCACACACACATTCTGTCAAGCTACGCAGCCATGGATGCTGGATGAATTACAGATAAATGCTTGAGTGGAAGAGTGTGATGTTTTCTCCAGCCACCTGTCAGTGCTGACCTTTGCCTCATTCCTGTGATGCTGTGTTTAAGCATGCATTCTGTGTGTTTGTCTTGTGTCCCCAGGGGGTTGCCATACTCTGTCACACCGAAGCAGTTTCACAGTGTTGACCTCTCCCTATGTTCTGCTATCTTCTGTTTTCTGAATGGGTTAAGATGTCCCTGCTCACCCAGTTTAGTCGCCCATTAACGTGTTCTGTTTGGGTCAAAGGGCACTTGTTGGAATTAGTGTCCCAATGCGCTACACCACAGTTTAATGTGATTATCAGTATGCTTTTAATTAATAGTTAAACCAAGTATGGACTAAGGCCCGAAACATTTTCTACACAAGTATGTGAATGCAAACGCTTTGTTTCATGCATCATTGTTGGAATGCATTATAATATGCATAAGGCCTATATATCAGCATTGCTGTTACTGTTATGGGATGCTATAGTGGGCATTAGTATAAAACAGTTTTTTACTAAACAGTCAGATACTAAAATCCAGGAGCATTTTATGTAAATAAAAATAAGTAAATAAATAAAATGCTAAATTCTAAAATATTTATAATTAGAATTATTATTTTATTATAAAATGTATATATATATATATTATTAAAATGTATCACTTTATTACAATCTTAGAAATTTATGAAGAAATTTATATTTTTCTAAAATGTATTTTGTGTAAATAAAAACAAATAAATACTCAAATGTGTTGTAAATACTAGAATTTATCCATACTACAATTTAGTACTACAATTTAATTTATTTATAATAAACTATAATTATTTTCCAGTCGTCTTCTCCTTCTCCTTCTTCTCCTCCTCCTCCTCCTCCTGCTCCTTCTCCTCCTCCTCCTGGATGAGCATACACAATTTAATATCTGATATCAAATTAAAAAAATTCTTAATATCAACTGATCACCGATACAGTACCGATATATTGTGCATCCCTAGCACCTGCATTTGCATACATTCATAGAGATTATTTCTGACCTTGTATGAGATTGTGTTGGCATTCGCTCGCGTCTCCTTGGAAAAACCCCATCATACACAGCGAAAAACCCCATCATCTCAGACTGTAATAGGCTGCTCTTTAGAAGAAATAACTCCTCTTAAAAGGCCATGAAGTTTGACTGCCTATTGAAGCACAGCTTGACCTGTCTCAGAGAACACAATTATAGCTATTACAACGAAATATAAGTGAACGGCAGTACACCAGCCACAATATTTAAGCTAAGTGTTCTGTTTTAAAAGAGGTAATTCTAAGGCTTAACGCCAAAGAATATCAACATAGAGTAAATGGCCTTCTCACTCCACACACACACACAATTATGTCTGGTGCTGCCACAGGTTATCAAACCCTCATCATCTTCAAAAGTGTCTCTCCAGACTCCAGGCAGGCCACTTTTAGCTCTGTTACATCTTTACCGTGTCTGGGATTACCTATATATCATTCTCTTATCTTCTCTCTCTCACCCCTTCATCTTTTTGTTTTGCCTTTCTCACCCTGGAATCAGACCTCTGCTCATCTTCTCCATCCAAAAGCCTCTCTTTTTTCCCAATTCTACCTTTTCCTTCCATCCTCACAGGTAATGGGATGATGCGAGTTGGTTTCAGAGCCCCTGGCCTCTCGTCTTCGCTGATGGATCACGTTTTAAAAACGCCGAAAATGAGCGCTTCTCATTTTTCTTCGTAACTGCTTCATTTGTTTTGATTTCTGTCTGCCTGTCACATACGCCGTCAGTTCCTAAATGAACATACATGTGGTTTTTTTCAGAAGTGGATGCTTAACCTCTTCACCCCGCTAGACTG